TATTATAGCACTTTGTGTTGGCAAAAGGGTCGCACTGGTTGGAACTACACAAATGAAATGCTAGCCCTGTAGTCACAACAGCCACAAAACAGCCACAACAACTGGGAAATGTTTTTTTCTTTTTTTTGGAATATTTTTTTAATTTTTTTTTTAATAATAAAAGAAATATTTAGCAGAAAAAGTTTAAAAATAGAAAATTAACAAAATTCTAGCCTTTTAGTGGGGCAAAAACAGCCACAACAACTGGGTGAAACAGCTTGTTTCACCAAAGAGAAATGTGCTTTTTTTTCTTTTTTTTGGAATATTGTTTTAATTTTTCTAAATAATAAAAGAAATATTTAGCAGAAAAAGTTTAAAAATAGAAAATTAACAAAATGCTACCCCTGTAGTGGGGCAAAAACAGCCACAGGCACACAACTGGGTGAAAAAGAGCTTTTGTTTCACCAAAGACAGTCAAACACACAAGAGCAGCAAGCAATGCCTCCTGCTAGCCCTGTAGTGGGGCAAAAACAGCCACAGGCACACAACAACTGGGTGAAACACACACACACACAAGAGCAGCAAGCAATGCCTCCTGCTCCCTCCCACCCAAAACGCTCTCCCGAGTCCCAACAGCGATTGAGCAATAGAACTGAAGCAAGCCTCCCGCACCTCCCTTCTCCTCGCCTTCCCAGCAATGAGCAATGCGGCCACGCGGAGCCGCTTTTAAAGGGCAGCCCGCCCAATCAGAATGAGACACGGTGCTTGGGAGCGCCGGATTGGCTCCCGGCGCACCCAGCATCCTCCATCCCGCCCGTAAAAAAGATGGAGGATGCCGTTTAGGTATTGAAAAACACTTCCGGGTTTGAAAATATATTTCAATATCATTTTGTAAATGAAAAAAATGAATTACAAAATTAACGAAGGAAACCGCCCAGCCCTATGATAGGTCAATGACTAGCACCAATAATGTACAAACGTCAGAATAGGAACTTATAGATTTAGGTATTAAGAAACAATGTCAAAAGCAAAGTTAAAACCCAGTATTGAATATGATAGTTATGATATAATAGATATCCGTCCGTCTGTCTGTCTATCAATCAATCAATCAATCAATCAAGTGTATACACACACACACACGCACGCGCACACACACAGAAGGGTGGATTCTTCTGGATCTCAGGAGAACCCGTCCTAATCTCTTTTTCCCAAACTGCTGCATAACTTTATTTTTGTTAGGTTCTTGTGGGTTTTTTCGGGCTATAGAGCCATGTTCTAGAGGCATTTATTTTTTTATTTTTTTATTTTTGTTATTCCCAGAAAAGTTAAGAGGCAAAGTTCTCCTCTCCTAAGTAGCTTCACTTGGAGGGAAAGTGCTTATGGTTGTGTTTGTGTAGAGAGGAGTGCATTCATTCCTCTCCACGACAGACTCCGAATTCCTAGCATATCCATACCTAAAAATCTCAGTAGTTAGAAATGGAATTGACGCATCCAAAGAAAACGGGCGAGGCAAACGTTCCCAAAAGAAAACTGAAAACTGGGGTACAGGCAGGCCTCCGTGTGCACGGAATCTGCAACCACGGCTTGAAAATATCTATCTATCTATCTATCTATCTATCTATCTATCTATCTATCTATCTATCTATCTATCTAATCTAAATATCTAATCTAGATATCTAAATCTATCTCTCTAGCTAAATATCTAGCTATCTAGCTAATCTATCTCGCTATCTATCTAGCTAGCTAGCTAATCTAACCTAGATATCTAATCTATCTATCTAGCTAATCTATCTATTTAATCTAACTATCTAATCTAGCTATCTAATCTGTCTAAGTAATCTAACTATCTATATCTATTTAATCTTTCTAATCTATCTATCTATCTATCTATCTATCAACTATCTAACTGTCTAATCTATCTAGCTAAATATCTACTCTATCTATCTAATCTATGTAATCTATCTATCTAATCTAGCTAATCTATCTCGCTATCTATCTAGCTAGCTAGCTAAGCTAACCTAGATATCTAATCTATCTATCTAGCTAATCTATCTATTTAATCTAACTATCTAATCTAGCTATCTAATCTGTCTAAGTAATCTAACTATCTATATCTATTTAATCTTTCTAATCTATCTATCTATCTATCAACTATCTAACTGTCTAATCTATCTAGCTAAATATCTACTCTATCTATCTATCTATCTAATCTATGTAATCTATCTATCTAATCTAGCTAATCTATCTAGCTATGTAATTTTATCTATTTTATCTATCTATCTACCATCCAACTATCTATCTAATCTTTCTAGCTAAATATCTAGCTATCTAGCTAATCTATCTATCTCACTATCTATCATCTATCTATCTAATCTATCTATTTATGTAATCTATATATCTATGTAATCTTTCTAATCTATCTTATTTTATCTATCTATCTATCTATCTATCTATCTATCTATCTATCTATCTATCTATCTATCTAATCTATCTATGTAAAATAGCTATCTAATCTATGTAATCTAGGTTATCTATCTATCTATCTATCTATCTATCTATCTATCTATCTATCTATCTAGGTTATCTATCTATCTGTCATCTTCCAAAAAGTAAACCTCTATTTTGCCATTTTACCGGTTTAAATGCCATTCTATACAATGGGACTTCAGTATCCACGGATTTTGGTATCCACGGGGGTCCTGGAACCAAATCCCAGCGGATGCATGTTTACTTCGGAAGAAAAACAAACAAACAAACGGAAGTAAATTTCATAATATAATGTAATACAATACAATACAATACAATACAATACAATACAATACAATACAATACAATACAATACAATACAATACAATACAATACAATACAATACAATACAATACAATACAATATAATATAATAATTTCATAATATATCCACAAGCATTAATTACAATCGGCTTGCGCCTATTACAGCCGAAAATTAGGGTGGGTTTGCACTGTAGAATTATGCACTTTGACACTACTTTAACTGCATTGAGCCTTGGCAGTTAAAGCGGTGTCAAACTGTATTCATTCTACGATGTAGGTGCAACTTTGGCCACAGATGGGTGAGCCCACTTCGCCTCCTTAAATCCAACCGAAGTGAATCGGTTTACAACCGGCCTTCCTTCCTAATCCGATCTCACCCCCAAAGCAAGAAAACAACACAGCATCTGTCACAACAACTGTAAGAGATAGATAAATAGATTACTAGGAATCCGACGGAGGAAGGTAAGAAACCATTCCCTCTATGAATTTTGCCCGCAGCAAGAGTTTTCCAGGCAAACGAAAAGAATAAACTACAAATCCCATGATTTTAGTGCATTGAGCTGGATCAGTTAAAGGGGTGTCAAACTACATTCATTCTACACACAATGTAGTTGCAGCATTGAGAAGAACCTATGTCAACAGAGAGGAATCTTTGAGCCGCGGGCGCCCCCTGGTGGCGAAATAATGCAACGAAAGAACTCCCATCAACTCATCAAATCAAAAGTCTGGGTTGTTGTAGGTTTTTTCGGGCTATATGGCCATGTTCTAGAGGCATTCTCTCCTGAAGTTTCGCCTGCATTTATGGTAAGCATCCTCAGCGGTAGTGAGGTCTGCTGGAACTAGGAAAATGGGTTTATTTATCTGTGGAAAGACCAGGGTGGGACAAAGAACTCTTGTCTGCTGGAACAAGGTGTGAAATCAAAAATCAAAAGTCTCTTGCAATTAACTTTGAAGTAGCAATTTAGCTCTTAAGCAGCTCTGTTTATCCAGGAAGTGGCTGTCCAATTATTTTATTTTCCAAATGTGACATCAATAAATCTATCATTTCAATGAATACGAGTAGGGGGGACAAAGTGATTAAAGCCTTGTACTATAACTCTGCAGAACAAGATTTGAATCCATACCCAGCCATGGAAACCAACTGGGGGGATTTTGGGGTCAAGTCACACTCTCTCAGCCTCAGAGATAGGCAAACGCGCCCCTGCCTTCCAAACAAATATGTTTCCAATATGCTTTATTGTAAAATATTCCATTGACTGTCTTTCATATTTGCAGTGGTTGCTATATGGTTTTCCAAATAATAACAACAACAACAACAATAATTATCCTGAAATCCTTCACTCCACTGGAACACTTCCTACAAAATATCCATGTTAGACTTTCAGGTAGATAATTGGGTCTATTTAAGGCAGGAAGTCAGAGATATTTCCTTATTACTCCACCAATAACTTGCAGAAAAGATAACAGAGAGGTTGATATGACAGCCGCCTTTACATATGTGAAAGGACACCAAGTAAAAGATGAAGCAAGTTTATCTTTTGCTTTTCCAAAGACTGGGACCAATAGATTCGAATTGCAAACCAATTAGGACATCAACATGAGGAAGGCCTTCCTGGTTTTAAGAGCTGTTTGATAGTAGACTAGACTCTTTTGGAGAGTTGTGGGTTTTCCTTCTTTGGAAGTCTGCAAACTGTATGACAGTGGGTTGCTGTGAGTTTTCCGGGCTGTCTGGCCATGTTCCAGAAGCATTCTCTCCTGATGTTTCACCCACATCTATGGCAGACATCCTCAGAGGCTGTAAGGTCTGTTAGAGAGTAGGAAAATTGGGTTTATATATGTGGAATAACATCCAGGGTGGGAGAAAGAACTCTTGTCTACTTGAGGCAAGTACGAATGTTGCAATTGATCACCTTGAATAGCATTAAATAGCCTTGCAGCTTCAAGGCTTGCTTGCCTGCTTCCTGCCTTGGGGAATCCTTTGATTCTCGCCATGAAAGCCTTTGACAACCCTATGACAGTATTTGTGGGTTGCTTTAATTGTGGCAGATGGTTTGAACTAGATGACCTTTGCATTCCCTTCCAACTCTTGTTTCCATTTTTCCATGGTACCCCTACACACAGAGTCAAGCTTTAAGCAAATCATCCTCCAAGTTGTGTCTTGCTCCAGCGACAGGCAGCAAGGAGTCACTTATATTTGATCAATGGACATTTAGACATCTTTTTCTCTTGTAGCCGAACTCTATTGGCCATGAATCATCGACTGCCTGGGCGACATAGAGAAAACGAATCCTGTAAGAGGAGCCAAGACCGGAAATCCGAATGTCCTCCCAGGCATTAATTCCAACATTTAATCAAGATCTGATTACCAAGAAGCAAGATGGGATATAAAAATTCAATAAAGGCTTTAAAAACTTTTCACTCTCATCCATAATTCACTTTTCATTTGTCCCATATTATGGCTCCCAATGTGGCAAGAGAAAGGCAGCAGTTTTGCAAGAATTGCAACAGGAGGAAGCCTGCCAATTCAATGGCACAATGAAAGCTGTGTGCTGGTTTTCTAAAGTTTCCAAAGCCCCAGGAAATATTTCTTTCCCTACCTCTACTATTGCTTATTCTGAAAAGGGAAACAGGATATGTGTCTGTGTAAACAGAGACAAGCTAAAGACAGTGGTGGTTCCCATGTCAGTAGGTCAGTGAAGCCGGTCCAGGTTTTGGATAGCTCTAAAAGAAATGTTCAGAATGATTTATCTACTTTGAGAAGGAGGATTCAGCAACTTTGCTGCCAGAGCTGAGGGTGTTTCTATATTGGGAAATTAATGCAGTTTGACTCCACTTAAACTTCCATGGCTCATGGGATATGTAGTTTTACCAAATCTTTAGCTTTCTCTGCCAAAGTTGCCTCAAGAAATGCCCACAGCTTTGAACCATGGCAGTTCAAATGGTGTGAAACTGCATTAATTTTGCAAAGTAAATGCCCCCTGAAATATGAGATGGAGTCACTTCCTCAGGCTGGATCTACACTGCCATGTAATCCAGTTTCTGAATCCAGATTATCTGCTTTGAATTGGATTATATGAGTCTAGACTGAATTCAGTGTAGGTGGGGCCTCACCGACATCAGCCACCACTGATTAAAGAAAGAGACTGTATATACATTAACAAAACAAGAATATTAAAGTGGTACAGAAAAGGTTTGGCTTTGCCTTCCTAAGCATGAGAAGCCCGCATTCTTGCCCGAAACATAATCAACAAACAACAACAGCACCCAGTTCCAAAACACAATAGTTTATTGAATTTGTTCAGAACACAATAGTTTATTGAATTTGTTTAGTTCAGGGGTCCTCAAACTTTTTGAACAGAGGGCCAGGTCACTGTCCCTCAAATTGTTGGAGGGCCAAATTATAATTTGAAAAAAAACATGCATCGATTCCTATGCACACTGCACATATCTTATTTGTAGTGCAAAAAAAAAAAACACTTTAAAACAACACAATAATTAAAATGAAGAACAATTTAAACAAATATAAACTTATTAGTATTTCAATGGGAAGTGTGGACCTGCTTTTGGCTGATGAAATAGGATTGTTGTTGTTGTTGTTGTTGTTGTTGTTGTGTGCTTTCAAGTCATTACAGACTTAGGTTGACCCCGAGTGAGGGCCGGGTAAATGACCTTGGAGGGCTGTATCTGGTCCCTGGGCCTTAGTTTGAGGACCCCTGGTTTAGTTATTAGAACCAAGATCTGAGCCAAATATGTTGGAAACAACAGAAAAAAAATTCTCGATGTAAAAGCTGGACAATGTTGTATCCTGCTTGAGAGACACTGCCAAAGTTCATTCAACCTGCAAATGCAAAGGACTGGAATATGCCATTGTCACTGTTCTGTAAATGTCACTTTTGCTACCTAGATTTATATTAGAACAGTTGGTGAAGATGGATACTGTATTGATGGATACAGATGGTTTTGCTGTATTGTTGCATTGATGTTTTTGATGTTAATTAATTGATACTACTGTTTTAAATGACTAATGATTTTGTACTGTGTTGCTGATACTGGTTGTTAACCGCTCTGAGTCGCCTGGTGGCTGAGAAGAGCGGTATACAAGTAAAGCAAATAAATAAATAAATAAATACAGGTGCATTCAGCTCAGTATTGTTTTCGTTCCTAGCAGCAACCCCCAGCAGCCCTTAAATACAATATGTTCATGCATAACAGCTTGATCCCACCTTAATTGCCATGTCTGTATCTTACGAAGTCTTGAAATTTGTAGTTTGGCAGAAGTTGATTAAAAAGTCATATAGGAGGAACTAGAGATTCCCAGAAAGGGGGTCTCTTATGTAAAAAAAAAGCGCAAGTATTTTGAAGGGGACATGGTGGCACAATGGGTTAAACCCTTGAGCTGCTGAACTGCTGACCTGAAGGGTGGCCGAACTGCTGACCTGAAGGTTGGCAGTTCGAATCTGGGGCAAGGTCCCATCTGTCAACTTAGCAGTTCAAAAACATGCAAATGTGAGTAGATAAGTAGGTCCTGCTTGAGGTGCTCCAAGCAGTCTTACCAGCCACCCAAACCAGGAAGTGACAACGCCGGCTCATCATCTTAAAAATGGGGATGGTCACCTCCCCAGGGCTAAAAATTGGCACCGTCTCCAGAAGCTGGAAATGAAAGGAGAAGCCTCTGCCTTTGGTTGTGTTTGCATGTCTAATTGTATATGATAGTAAAGGCAGTGAATGTTTGCTTGTGTATGTAAATGCTGTAATTCGCTCTGAGTCCCCAAGGGGAGAAAGGCGGAATATAAATAAAGTGTATTATTTATTTATTTATCTATCTATTTTCCACACTTTTGCAAGGGTCTTATGTTCCCAATTCTCATGAAAGTGGAGGGCCTACTTAATTGCCTTTTAACTGTCTTTTCTTGAGGCTAAATCTATCCAATACCTATTGCCTCTTATCACAGGACTTTGGGCATATTTGCACTACAGAATTATTGTCTTATTATTCATATAGTTCCCTCTTAATGAAATCCCAGGACTATAGGCATTTCTCAACCAGAGAATGTAAGTATTGCATCAAATCCCATTGTTGGAAATAGCAACCTTCTACAAGCCTCTTATACTAGTTACTGGTTATGTATATACTTCAGATTGCTTACTATCTATATAAATAAAAATGTAATGTCAGGTTGTGGGATTAACATGACTCAAAAACCACAGGATGAATTGACACCAAATTTGGACACAATACACCTATCAGGCCAGCGAGTGACCATCACTTATAAAAACACTGAAAAACACAGCAGAAGAGACTTAAAATGCCAAAAAAGCCATGCCAACACATGCACAAAATCACATATACACATACATACACACAAAACACAGATACAGATACTGGGCCACAGCAATGCATGGCACGGGATAGCTAGTGTTGTATATGAGGGTATTGGTATGCAGTTTTCCCTTAACTCTATGTTGTTTGAGGTTGTGGAAGGGACTGCAGACCATGTGATCAGATCTGGGACTGTTCAGACTGAGATTCTATTTTAGAAGTATTGTATTGTGTTGTGTATTGTATAGTCAGTGTTCGTTATGCATTAGACATAAGACAGAGAAGAGACTGCAACAGAATGCCTTAGAGAACTTACTGTTTGAACTTTCAACTGATAAGCAATGTACCTGTATGCTGAATACATGAAGTTTGTAAGTAAACCAACTAAGTTATTTTTAACCAAAACTACTTATTTTTGTTTCTTGAGAGCATGATTTAAAACCAAATTTATTTTATGAGAGAGTAGATGTTATTTGGACAACCGAAATAACACTTCTGAAGATCTGCTAAATATTTTGTGCATTGGCATAATCTTTGTTCCTAACAGTTCAAAGAGATAACTAGGTATATCAGTCTAACAGCTGAGAAACCTAATTTGCCTTGTATGAATACTAGTGGATATTTACCACTAAAGAGAAGATGAACTCAAATGAGTTTTTAGCTGAGTTGTTGTAGGTTTCTCGGGGTATATGGCCATGTTCTAGAAGCATTCTCTCCTGATGTTTCGCCAGCATCTGTGGCAAGCATCCTCAAAAGGTGTTTGTTTTTAGCTCTTCTCAGGAAGATCATACTTTACAAAGGGGTTATGATTATTCCAAATGGTAGGGATTGCCAATTAATCTACAAAAGATCACACTTCCAAAAGACTTTGGGGGTCCTGGTTTTCCAAAGGGTCATGTTTTCCCCAAAACCCATAGCCAATACAGTTAAAGTGAAACAATAGTGTTACAATTTTGTAGTGGGAACAACCTTCTAGTTTTTTTTAGTAAAAGGAGGGAAAAAAGAAGTGAGGAAGGAAGGACAGGAAACTAATTGTGTTAGTTTAAGATTAGTTTCAATTTAATTGCAAAATATACTGGAATTTAACTAACCTAACTGGAAAATTATATACTTTCTTTGGATCTAGGATGGAAAGAGAGCAAGTCATCTCAGAGTATCAATCTTCCGGCAGACCCCAGATTGAGTCCTGCTGCTTAGAAATGTTTGGCTCACCAAAGCCCAGTGTCAGGCAACTGGAAATCATTAAATTGATGATCTAAGTGGTGTGCAGGAAAAATGTGATTATCGTGTGTACATTTTTATGATTTTTTTCCTTTAAAATCGTATTTCAGCATTTTCCTTCCCATCAAGGTCTCCGGCGAAGGAGGGGCAGGACAGGCATTGATTAGCACTTTCAGGCTAAATCATAAAAGTGTAGCACATTTTGCTTGTTACAGATGATTTTTTTTCCAACCAAAGAGCTTGGGATGTTAGTTTCACATTAAGAGCAATATATTGAAGAAAGTCAACCGGGTCGTCCTTTATTTTATGTTTTTCAGGGGCACGTGGGGGACAGATTAACCCATCATAGTAAAAGTCAGATCACATTAATGTGTATCCCGAGGTATGTCTCATTTGGTTTAATGGGATTAAGGGGGTGAAGAAAATGGGGTCCCAAGGTTCTCTTAGAGGAAGGACACCAGCATCTCTCTCAAATTGCTTTTTTAATTTTCTTTAAAAACAAAAAAAAATGTTGCCTTCTGATTTCATTAAGAAAAGAATTGAATTCAAGTACACTTCCTGGCTGGAGAAGAACCTTCTCTCTTCTGAGGCTAAGAAGGGCCCCAAAATATGGCAAAAAAAAAAGGAGGGATAGCCAATACTCCAGAAGACAGGAGCAAAATTCAAAACGATCTTTACTGATGAGAGAGATGAGCCAAAACTAACAAAATGAAATTCAACTGTGACAAATGCAAGATATTCCACTTAGGCAGAAAAAAAATGAAATGCAAAGATACAGAATGGGGGACATGTGGCTCGAGAGCAGTACATGTGAAAAAGATTTTGGAGTCCTCGACCAATCCCCTTCTGGCCTCGTTCAAAAGCCAGGATGGGCAGGGGTCTA